CAAAGTAATGTGCTACAGTGTCTGCTACAGCATCCAACAGAAGACTGGCCGATAGTTCTTGACTCTGCGTAGTGCCCAAATTCCCAAATCAGTGGAGCGACATGTTTCCAAGATCTGCACCCGAAGCAGTTGCATTCAGGGTTTGCACCAACATCATTTCAAAATGAAATGTATGTGGAATGCAAATCATCATAGAATCATAGAATTTGTCCATGCCAAAATATCTCAAGCAATCCATACCGAAATACTTGAGTATTCATTGCATGTGTGTCAACAAAAGTCGGCGGCAAGCCAACATTTCTGCGTTTGGAGCTGGCAGCTGGGGGGAAAACTTTCAACTCAATTCTTAATATCGCAAAAATTAAACACTGCAGATCGGAAAAACTCGGGAACCAATGCAAAGTAGTGAGTTGGCTTGGGCTTCATGTACACATGCAAGCACACGGGCTTCACTGTTTGGCAAGCGCACAACCACACATGGATAAGGTGATGACACGCAAGTGCAGCCGAGTTGTTTGACCGTGTCATTTGAACAAGCTCTTGCATGTGTTCCCAAAAAGTTTTCAATGCCTGCGAAAACTTCAGCCCACATGCCCAAGTGCACAATTTCATTTGATTTGGTTCATGTGATTCGCAACTGAAGACAACTGCACAAAATGGCATCACAGTGACTTTCAGTGGACTCTTTTTCATAGGCCAGCATGAGCGCAAAATCTCAGAAGTCACGGGAGCTTCTGCTGCTGCCAGCGGCAAAGGCTGAATAGGCATCAGGCCCATCATCATCTGTCTTCACACGAGTGCTGCACACCACATAGAGCAACACGGTTCCTACGCATGATATGGCCATCGTGTTGCCCATAACTTTGCGCAGGGCATTGCTTGAGATCTTTCCATCTTGAACCAGCTTGCCAAGCGGTGAGCTCCGGGGCACACCTATCACATCGAAGCTCAAGAGGGGCCAGAAATCGACCCTTTGGCAAATTGAAGATATGAGAACCAGTTGTGAAGCAAGGGACCAAGCTGTCAAGTGACCCGAATGGGGGTCTCTGAGTCAAATCGCATATGTTTTGCATTGCCTCCACAGGGTTGGCCTCAATCCTTTCTCGACGCAGCTCCGAATACATCTGCAAGCACTCATGCTTCGTCTTGCTATCTCCGTCAGCCATTCCAGGGCCCTCCCTGAAGAAGATATCTCCAGACAGCTCACACCGTCTGAAGAAGAGGTCAACAAAGCCTCCATATGAACCTGTGAACATGATCTTGTCACTTCTGAAGAAAACTGTGTATCTGCGCTTGCGCCGGAACGGCAACCCTAGATCGCTCGGGCACATCCTGATCGACCACCAGCCGCCATGCACGAGACGAGTAGGTCTCCAGTAAGTCCTGCAGCATCCAATCCGGAAAGTCCGGCGTACATTCATGAATGCCCAAGTGGATGTCATCATTGATGATTTGACTCATCCAAATGCTGTAGGGGATCGCTGTTTGGCCAAAAGCCTGGCCACGCTTGCCACGCTTGGACCAATCGATGCAAGGGGTTCCAGACACATGTATCCTCAGCAGCTTTGATCCTGATTTTGGGACAAACAGAGGGCAGGTTCCCTCAGAGTCAGCACGCAAAACACATGGCGCTTGGGACCGAAGGCCATTTCCACGCCCCTGCAGCATGGCCAAATGAGATTGCGCATGAACTCCTTTTGGGCCGCCTCAGAGTGGTTTTTCTCGGAGTCGGGCTTGCTGGCATAAGCACGCACAATCTCACGCATAGTTTGCAATGCTTCTGGCGCAACTGAATCCTCCAGGTTCCCAAAGATATGCTTCGGGCCATGTTTGCGCCATCCAGCCTCGTCTTCGGCATCCCACTTGAAAAAGCCAGCAAGCATTGCTTTGCCACTTTGTTCATGTCGCCCGCACTGGCCAAAGTGAAGCCTTGCCTGGGACCAAGGCACAGTGACGGATCCAATTTGCACAGCGCGGCTTCAAGGCTGTGAGCGGCGTAAGATGGGGCCTCAATGCCTGAGAATCGTGTGTCCAAAACCACGCCCTTGATCATTCGTTTCTTGAAGGTGTCTCGAAGCTCCTGCGGGAGGACGGAGATGTGCCTAGATGCCCAATCCAAGCACCATTCAACAGCAGCGTAATCAGTATTCACCTGCTCAAATCAAGCATTTTTGCATGTCTGATTCGCAGGCAGGTGGCACAATACAAACAGCCAGCATGCGGGCGGCAGATTTGTGGTTTGCGCACATCAAGAATTGAGCACAAGTCGCCAGCGAAGGCGCGCACAAGGAATTGATCAGGCTCTGAACAGCTTAGACTGAGCGGAGCACTGTGCAATGATCTCAGCTTAGCTGGGACGTCAAAGTCGAAGTCAAAGTTCAAGCAGGCTGTCAAGCGGGCTGCACGCAAACCCAAGTACACAAAGCACTCGTGATCTGCACAAGCCAAATCAAGCGATTGGCCAAATGAACTGAAATCAAAATGTCATGCGTGGACCACGTGGACCATTCATACAGCAATGATGTACAGATTGTCAGATTGTCGGATTGCGCAAAGACATGGATTACAGTGAAGGAATTGACCTGAGAGTGGCCGCATGCTGGCACACAGGGCACACGACATTGTTTTGCAGAAAATTGCAAAAAGGCAATTTTAAGTGCAAAGTCTCATTTCTTGGAAGCAGGCGATTTCGCCTTTGCAGCCTTTGCAGCTGCTGCCCCGCCTTTGGGAACATTGCGCTTGGGCTGCACACCCTCACTTGACTTTGGAGTTGGCGAAAAAACCTTGGCCTTGGCCTTGTCCTTGGGCGGCGCAGATTTGCCTAGGGCCTTGAATGGAGGAAACACAAGCTGCGCAGGAGGTGGAAGCATCCCAGGCTGGGCAAACTTCGCCAAAGGCTGCTGCTGCTGGGGCACTGGCGGCTCTGAAGGTGAAGCGCCAATTGGCATCGCTGGCGCTGGGATTTCGCCAACCGTCTCAGACTTCTCGAAATCCACTGGCTGCAATGGCAAAGCACCTGGGGCTTTGGCAACATTCTCAGCCGTCTGAGCCTGCTTCTGACCTGCCTGCGATGTCAAATCTTTCTCAGCCTTCTCAGCCCCATCAATCGCAGTCTCTGCTGGCTGTGATGTCAAAAGAGCTGAGATTTCGGCATCCTTCTCAGCCCCCGCCCCCTCAATCGCAGTCTCTGCTGGCTGCGATTGCTCAGGCGTCTCCGCTGGCTGCTGTGATTGCAGAGGAGCTGGGAGTTTGGCAGCCTCCTCGGCCTCGGCAGCGGTCACATCTCCCATCCCAGCTGCCGCTGCCTGCGATGTCAAAGGAGCTGGGACTTCAGCAACTTCCTTCTCTGTCTGCGTCGGTGGCATCACCCCCTCTGACGGGAACTCTGGCGACTGCGCCGGCTCAAGCTCCTGCTCAAGTTGCTCATCAAGGTCCTTGTCAAGCTCATGCTCCAGCAGCTGCCGCTGCTGCTACGATTGAGCCTGGGCCTCAGCCTCAGCTGGAGCTGGAGCCGGTTCAACTGGCTCAGCTCGCTCATCTGAATGCTTTGCATCACCGTCACCGCCTGCTCCTCCTTTGGGCCCAAAGAGAAGTTGACACTTGCTGGGGTCTGACAAGTAAGTAAACAAACCTGGAGGTTTGTTGTTTCCGTCGATCCACTCTATGGCCGTGGTGATATTCTTGCACATCTGCACCGGCATCATGCGCAAACGAACCCCGAAGCAGCATCGCAGATTGAGTACCTGACATGATTGCAAAGCAGCACTCAAGGTGGAAAGTTGCACACAGACAGAGGCACACATCAAAAACTGCAAACAGTTAGAAACAGGCCTTCTCTTGGAGCATCCATCCCGCAGGAACATAGGAGAGAGACCCTTTGGAAAGCAGGGCATGGCATATGGAATCCTCCGGGGACATGGTGAAATATGATGCCAGGCTTGATGGCTGCATGTTCTGGACAAAGTCCAGCACATCACGGTATGTTGCTCGCTCTCCGCGCCGGCAAGCCTTCACATACTGAACTAGCTTCTCAACGGGGAACATGATCACATGGCGATGCCCTTGAGTTTGAATCCTGAGAGATGGTAGCTGCAAATTGTCGAACCCATAGGAGGTCATCTCTTCCCCGTAGCCAAAAGTTTGGACGCCCGCAAGAGCATCATGTAGCACAGAACGACCGCCTGTGCACAGACGACCAAAGCCATCACAATCACAGTGCAACTTACAGTGCAACAGCGCAACACAAAGATCAAAGATCCGTCAAAGTTACCAGTCATGTTACCAGCCAGTCAGAAGAGTCTAGAAGGACTGCAAATGTTTGACTGTTTGCGCTAGATTTAGAATTCACTGTATTTCGGCAGGCAGACTGAGAAGGCCTTCTGGAAGCTGATCCCGCACGCCCAACTCCTGCAACACATTGGACCGAAGCTCTTGCGTCATCTTCACAGGGCACGTGAAGCGCCTCGAACCTTGCAGAGCCGCCTGGGACCCAGGAAATCCCATGTAAAAGGACTGAAGGGAATTGGTGACTGTATTGTCTGCAAGCAACGCTTGCACCGCAGGGAATGCTGAAGCCACATCATCAGTCCTGGCAACAAATGGCTTCTTCCAGTCCACTGCTTGGGTGTCTTCGAACTTGATTGCATCCATGCACTTGGCCTGCAGCTTCACCAAATCAATGGAGAAAATGTCACCCACACGGCCTTGTTTCTCAGCAGCTTTGCTCAAGCGTTGCTCTTGGGCTTCCCGCTTTTTTTTTCCTGTTGAAGGGCCTTAACTTCCTTCCGCTCCTCAGCCTCTTTCTGCTTGGCAGCATTTGCGGCACGCGCCTTCCCAAACTTGACATACTTGTCAAGGCTTGCCTTGAAGGATGTTTTCATGATGGCAACAACATTCACGACGGGTCGGAACTCCGCCTCAAGTGACTTCTTGCTTGCAACGTCCGTGATGTTCTCAAGTTCCTGGGCCAGCTGCCGAACACATGATGACAAAGGGTCTACGTTCTTGAAAATGTCCGGCAGCTCAGCTGGCGTAGTCTGGAGGCAGCGAAGAAGCCTCTGGCTGTCCTGATCCGCTGCGATCTGATCAACGTCGGTCTGCCCAGCCGTGTAGCTGCCAATCAAGCATTCAGCGACCTCCCCGGTTCTGAAGCATCCTCATGGCCTGCAACTCATGGCTGGGCGTGGCACTGTCGACGAGCGCAGCCTGAAAGCTTGGGTCCTGCAAAGTCGCCAGTGTGGATTCCATGACACCACGCAACGATCCCAACTCCTTGTCCAATGCAGTGACGAGCCTGTCTTTCAAAACAATGCGCTCAAGACCAACATCAAACGCAGCCAGCTTTTTGGGGGTCTTCTGGTCAGGCTGACTTCCTGGGCCATCATGCGGTGCCTGGAAGGCTGCAGCAGTGTCACTCAGCACAGCCTTCCTGCCGAAGGTAGCGGAGATCAAGCCTGTGTTCTCCAGATTACTCACACCCATTCGATCAATGCCTGAAGAGGCTGCTGCCCGGCCAGACTCAAGCGCATCATCCATGAGCATGTCCTGCTCCTCATTGTACTTCGTCCGCTTGTGCTCAAGGAGCTTCTCTTTCTCGTAGATGTCACTGTCCTCGACCACCAAGAAATCCTCAATCTTGACAGGAATGCGAAGTCTGCTTTCTGCAGGACCGGCTTGGTCCCTGTGCTTCGACTGCTCGACTTCCAAGTCCCATCGTTCTAGAGCGGACTTGCGATCGAGGGACTCTCTGTCCATCCAGAACTTCACCGCACGCTCACGGCGCATAAAGACTGCCTCACGTCGAGCAGTAGAGACACATGACACATGTGACATGGAAGCCAACAAGAGAAAGTCATTGCAGGCAACTTTACAACAACGCATTGACCCAGTGGCCCAGCACAATCACATAGAAATTCCCCGGGGCATTAAAATCTAACTATCTGCCAACCTGGGCCCTGCTCATCCTGAAACGCCAACAGTTCAACTGCACAAACCGTGACCTACAAGGACATACATCAGCCATGATTTTATTCGAGGTGCTTTGAAGCCGAGCTTGAAAGGCGTTTGCACTCTGCGGGCTTCGCGGTAACGACAAAAGTCGAAGCGGGTGCGGTTTGTGAATTTCCGCCGCTCGCCAGAATTCTGCACGTATGTGTGCATGAAGTCGGTCAACTCCTCGCCTCCTCGTTTGAGGAGTTCCCCGAACCATTTCGCCTCCCCGCAGCTATCTGCTTCGCGGCGAGCAGCTTGGACATCGCTCTTGCATATCTTGCAATGTTTGCTCTTGTCTGCTCGGACTCGTTTCCGACAAATGGCACAAATGCAGGCAGAATTCTGCGGTGAAAGCGATGATGGACTCTGGGCAGAAGAATCTTGCCCTTCAACACTGGCCTGATCAGAAGCCTTGCTGGGGGCATCGGACTTCTCGGACGCTGCCTTTTGCGGGGATACCTGCTGCACCTGGCTCGGACTTGACAGCGGTGAAGGCAGTGGCATCAGGCTCACCCATGCCCATTTCGACATCCGGAGCATCAAACATGCTTCAGACGCAGAGCAGGCAACAAGACCAGCTACTCACGGCTGATGAAGAACGTTGAAATATGAGAACTTTTGCTAGCAGAGCTCGAGCACAGGCACAGAAAATTACATTCTGACATTTGTCACATTTGGCATGCCAACACGGAAGCACAACTGCACTTCAGAGTCTACTTCAGAGGCACATATGCATTTCAGAGTTGAAGGCCTGTGGCTGTTGACGCGAAAGTCTGGCAACAACAGCATCAGCTGCACAGGGATACTCATCGTCTGAATCAGGCAGAGGCACTAGGTCGCCCAAGTCCAGGCGACTGCTCAATCGTGCCACTGAAAAGGGCCGGGCTGAGTCTGAGGCTGAGGCAGCCACATTTGACGCTGGTCTTTTGTTCATTGACTCTGACAGGGACTGTTGCACCACAAGCCCATGGGCCACAGGAGGATGCACAGAAATCTTGGTGTATGACAAAGACATGCATACAATGATCAATTGCAATCTTTTCTTCTACATTACACAAGCTGCTGCAACTGGAACCTGCAGAATGATAAGGTGGATGATAGCTTCATGAAGCATTCATAGGTATCTTGAAAGACACGCTCCATCAGCACCTACAACTGACATTTCTTGAAGAGCACAGCAGAGAAAGTTCTCACATGTCGCATTGTCCACTGAAGAGCTGCGCTGTTTCTACAGGTGTAGATGAAGCTCAGATACAATAGAAGGATTTCCTGCTTCTGCTTGAAAATCACAAGAAATGGATTCTAGAAATTCTATCTGACAACAATGGTCCCCAACATTCTTGCCCCAACACTTTTTGCAAGTCTCACACTCAGAAAACTTTCTGGCTGTTGGGCAAACGCAGGAAAGAAAACAACCCACTTGAACGCAAGCAAAGAGAAGCCAGAAGCGGAAAGTTTTCAGAAATATTTGTCGAATTCGGAAATTCGGCGAATATCGCTGAATTTCGGTGAATCCTAACATTTTTTTCGAAATCCTCGAAAACTGAGAGCAGGATACCTCCAGCAGCAAAAGTGCCACAGCGCAAACGCCTCAACATATTTGCAGGTGTGAGTGGGTCTGAGCGACTGCGTGCGGAAGTGTGCGGAAGTGTGCGGAAGTGTGCGGAAGTGTGCGGAAGTGTGCGGGTGTGTCCGTGCGCGCGCCCAATGTGTGCGGAAGTGCGCGGAAGTGCGCGGAAGTGCGCGGAAGTGTGCGGAAGTGTGCGGGTGTGCCCGGGTCGACCCTGGGGCTGCAAGGTCTAAGCTCCATTTCCCACTTACATTGCTGCCGAACCGTTGCTTGCTTTTCTTGGCTGTGGCTGCATTTTCGCTCGCGTTTTCTTGTTTTCGATGCACTACCAAGGAAATTCTGACCCCGATGGTTTTTTTTGCGTTTCCATTCCTATGTTTTCCTGGCGCCTGGGCAGCCTAAGTTTTCTTGGGGATCTCAAGGGCCCAAAACCCAAATAAGCAGAAAAGCCCGACTATCCACCCCAAAGGGCCAGGAGGACCTGCGCCTTCTATCAGCCATGCTCCAACAGCTCAAACCTTTGCGGGCAGCACCCCGCAGCATCCTTGGCCCGCTTTGACCAACCCACCACCCCGCCATCGCCCCATGACCTTGATTTCGTGATGTTGCGCCGCAACGCCGACCCTCAGGAGTCCAGCTGGCTTGGATTGTGACTTGCCTAGGCAGGTGGCGGCCGTCCACCGCAAGGTGCCTTTTGAATATGCCATCAAGTTGCATGTTCCGTCCGGGTGTCTCTTTTCTTTCCGATGTGGACTGTAAAATCTGCCCCCAACCTTGTGCCCAGGCGGAGGAGCAGCGTCAAGAGCTCTACAG